TACATTGTATATTAGTGCACAAATGCGTTTACAGTAGATATTATACAACGTGTGTCCTGTAAAGGAAAAAGATATAGAATTTTATTATTATCACTATTTATATATATACGTGTATTATATATATAAACGCCTTATAACATTTATGCAAAATTATCTATATCAGGTTTTTTACGAGGTGAGTCAATAGAGTGTATTGAATAAACTTCACCTAGCTATATACACAGCATTTAGTGCATAATTTATACTTTTAATAAACTTATATGCATTATTACTTGTATGTATATTGTATATGATACAAATTATTGTTTATTTTTTATACAAATAGAAATTTTTTTCTATGGAATTGGATAAGAATCTATTTTTGATTAATTTATGTATTGTCAAGATTTGACTTCGCTCTAAAATGTAATGATCAAACGAAAAATCGCGTTAAACTGTTAAAGATTTGACCTTCGTCTTATATAACCAACGCGCGTTTTTGTCAGGTTTCATAATTGTATATTATAATAATATAAGTACTTATGAATCTACTTAATAATTATTTATTTTTAAGCCTATTGATTTAGAAAAAAAATTCATCTACAAATTTAAAGTCTAAAATAGACGTAACTTATAAGGTATAAGTGTATAACATATTATATGATATATTAGCATAAAAATAAAAACTAAAGTAAGCCATTACGTATTATAATTTATAGTAATTTCATATAGGTTAACTACAAACTATATTTATGAGCAAGTAATATGTATATAGGTTATAATATTTATTACTTATAAGTTATATTTTAGCCGTGAAATAAATTTTAAAAACCAATTTGCCTTTATTTATTAGTTTTAATTTTTAGTGTTAAATAGATACCGTAAACTATACTATAGCATTGAAATTTGCTCACATTCATGGATCATATTATATTCAAAAACCTAAAACGTGATAAATACAGATATCCCAAATTTTGAATTGAAAACTTCAATGAAAATTGTATTACTATTAATAATCAATTGTAATTTATTAGTATAGAAAGAAAACAATAATATTAATTTCCTTTGATTCCTATTATATTAATATACTATCACTTCTGGCTGTATTTAAATTTAATATCTAGATTATTTATTCAATGTTATGTTTACAGACTTATAATAAAGGCATTAAACATGTGTTCAAGTTTTTTTGTGTAGGTATCTATTACAATATCCTTTACTACATAAAAAAATGAAAATAATTTTTTTTTTTTTATTAGGTAAACGAAATACAGTGGATTCCGCTTAATGTGGCCACCGGTTAATATGGGCATCCGCTTATTGTGGGCAAACATGTCTGGTCCCAATACAAATGTATATTAACAATGTCAAATAAAACCGCGTAATATGGACACTCGATTCGGTTTATGTGGGCAATTTTTTTTATCATAGCGTTAGAATATACACATACGTATTTAAAAACGATTAATGTAATCGGGTTTCGTCGTATCTATGAGATTGTGTTTATCGAAAGTAATAAAAATCATTACCATTCAAATAAACAAATTTCGCCAAAGAGAGGCGAAAAAGTGCATTGATTTCTTGCAGAAGTTCTTCATGCAAGAGGGAAACGAAAATAGTCCGTCTGATAAACTTGAAGCGTGTGCCTATTTTGTCAACCAGATCCATACTAAACAGCTTAGATAACGAAAAATTACAACGTTTTGTATACCTTCTACATCCAAAGATTAATTTTATTTAATATATTATATGTATTTAGTTTTATTTATATATCTAATAATTATTTAAAAATTTTTTCAATTATATGATAATACAAATATATTTTTTTATTATAATTTTTTTTTTTTTACTAATTTCGGTTTTTATGGGCAACCGCTTAATGTGGGCAAACAGGGCTGGTCCCAACGTGCCCACATTAAGCGGAATTCACTGTATACAACTATACAAAATTTTGCACAACTAGTATTAATGATGTAGGTGTTTTACATATCATGAAATAAGTGCGATCATTATAAATGTATAGTGTCACTTTTAAATTTACATACGGTATGTATTATATTTACGCCATAGTCTGCAATCATCCGTTCAATTAGAAATTTGGGACATTTTAATAACAGATAAATATAGTTATTATGTATCTATAAAATGTGTTTTTACTTTTGAGTGATATTTAGTTATTTAAAATGAAAATTTTTTGAATACTCATGTTATTTGTCTCTTATCATATATACTTTTTATATCATCCTATAGGTATATATTATATATTTTGACTAAAAATAAAAATGAATAATATACTTTCTGCAATCTTGTTATAGCTACATGTATAGTAAGTACTATTTTAACACAGATCGCTCATTTTTAAATACATGTCTCATTCTCAAGTTTTAAGGATATGTTTTGAGAGGGGTGTAACTGGGGTAAGATATAATATACAATATTTTCTATAATTATAAATTACTTATACATTATAATACAATTTAAAATACTATAGGTATTGCGCTTAATGTGTTAAAGTCATAAGCATATTACGTTTTAATGTTGTGTAACAAAAATATTTAGTTAAATTAGAAATTGAAATGAATTTTGGATAGAAAAACTGCTCTCAGGTCTGTTTATATTAATAAATTCCCTCTCTCATTCCCAGAAATATAACTCCAATGTAAGATCATTGCGATTTTTATAGACTCAAGTAGCAGTTTTGACAAATTTTTAAGGGAAGGCCTTTTCGCAATGATCAGGCTACATTTTTCATCAAAATCACCACTGGATAACACTTTATTAAAATATAAATATTCAAGGTTAATTATACATAGTTTTAATTTTAACATCAAATGCTTACCTACATTTTATTTAGCTGATTTTAATTAATAAAATAAAATAAATTCATCATTTCATAAAATAGGTTATAGTTTGAAAAGGGAATAAATGAGGAGTAAGCATAATGTATATTATGAAATTAATTTGCACTCGGTAGAATAATATATTGTTGAAGTGTTCATTTATTTGTTAGAATATCAATATGTGTATGTTTTTTATGCTATTAATACCTAATAAATATGATTTTAAATTTGAAAAACAACTTCACGATAGCCTACGCTAGCTCCAATTCTTACCTAAACGGCACACTCGAGTATTATATAAATCCACGACTGGGAGCATAAACATGTACCTATTGATGTTTATGTTTAGTCATGTCGACATTGGCATTCGTAAATTATTATACATTTAAACGAGCGTAAATATTGATATAATGTATTATATATATATAAATATATTATAATGACGCGTTTATAGTTTCAAAGTCGACCTTGTTCCGACATCGGCAAACACGCGCGTTGATGCGATATATGTGTGTATAAAATTAAAATATAATGTAAATTATATTATACACAGTACGTGTGCACGAGTGTGTATAACAACCGACTGCCGATGCGATCGAGAGAGGTATACGAGCACCTCAACAGACCAACCTACCTAACCGTCCTAACCTTTACTAACGAGAACACGTGAAAGCCAATTAAATACGGTATTTAGACGGTAAACCCGACGTTGAATAATAACTAAATACCTATGTTATCCACGAGCGAACTAATTAAGTGAGTATACGTATGTAATATCACGTAGAAAAAGTAAATTTTGTGTCTTATAAAAATAATAATACCCATCACAGCTGATGCGTGCAATAGGATCGGTGCAGTAGGCTACAGGCGCTTGTATATAGTTTCCAAGCGAGAATTTTCTATGCTCGAAACGAGATTGCAGTATTGCACATTTGCACAATATTCGCATACTTGCGCACACGCCACACGGCACGCATTTGTCAAAGTTGGCAGTATAATCTACATTATATTACTAGTATACTTATATATTATATACGTGTATACATTACTTATACAAACTGTTTAACAGGCGATCAATATTGGGACATGCTACTCTATTTTTATGGTCATTTTTTGTGATTTTATAAAAAAAAAAATGATTCTGCATAGTTCTAAACCATGAGCAAAATGCATGTACCAAAATTAGCCCAATTAGATATATTTTAATTTTATTTCATTGACTTTCCGCGTTTTTTAATGACAGCCTAAGAATATTTTATATGCCTTATCGGTTTAAAAAAAAAAAAAAAAAAACATTAGTTCAATACTCGTTATATTTTAAATTAATATTGAAAATATTAATAGTACATTAACGCTTTTTGAAATGTTCTTAGTTTTCCGTTTTCTAAAACCAAAAAATCACCACATTTGTGATATACATAATTGAACAGTGAAAAAACTGAATTTTTTCTTTGTAAAAATATTACTGACTTAACACGTGTGACTAATACAATAATAACTGTCAAAATCGCATTGTACGAAAATATCGTCCAATAAATCTTTATAGTGCGATATGAAATGTAAGGACTGTAATGCACAACCGCACAACTGGTCATTTAATGGATTACCATGTACAATAATTATACCTTTAATCATAAACGTTGATTGAGGAATGCTTGGGGACTTAACTCCCCAAAAAAAATTGAAAACCTCTCCTAAATTATTGAACATTTTTCAAAATATTTAATTGATACCTATTTTGCAACAATGCAAAAAAAGATTTAATCCCCCCCCCCCCCCTAAAATTCAATCAAATATCTGCCTATGCCTATAATAGGCTAAAGCGCGTAGATTTAAATTTTTATAAATCCGCGATCAATGTTATCACAATAATAATCAATTAATATTATAAATTTCCTCTGACGCTGAACGTAATAACTAATAATAGATGATTATTAATATTATTATCAATATTATTGATTTTAGATTTTAACAACAACAATACTTTCATTCAATATCATCATGTACATTGTACTTGTTTATAGCAAAAATGCAATTCGCGCTGAGACGTGCGCCGTCGTGCGATAACTGATAACAGCGGTTGGCGCCACGGTGGGGGTGACGGGACGGCCGTGACGTCATCGCGCGGTCGCGGATATCACTATACTACGCGAGACCGTTTCCCCCCGTCCCACCGTGCCCGGCCGTATCATGTGCCCGTGCTGGTCGTAGTGCCGTGTATTTGTATTATAATCACCGCCGCCGTCGTTACTCGTCATGTTGTCGACCGTTCGTCAGCTTTGCCGCCTCCGTAGCAGCGGCAGCCTCAGCCGCCTGTGAACAGTGACCTAACTCGCGCGCGCACCCACTCATCTACCCGAGTACTCGACCACACACGCACGCCCGCATGTCAGACATGACTTAGGCGGTCACCGGTGTGTACGCTCGTGCCCGACAAGTGACCGGTCAGAGCCAGGTCGGGTGGTATATCGTTGTGGAGTGACCGACCAGCCGGTGGCATCGAGTCCCAGCCTCAGGACACCCGCCGCCATGGCCGTCGAGATTTCGGTTACCCTGTCCCGACCGGAAATGCCCTCGGGCCTGGGATTTTCCTTACTCGGTATCGCCGACTGCCCGCCAGTCATCTACGACATCATTGAGAACACGCCAGCTGCCGAATGCGCTCAGGTATTGCAGTGCTCAATCTCACAGTCGATACCTATCCGACTCGTCCGTGAAGCCATTCCCGTTTATCGACGTTTGTTTGTCTAGCAGCTCAATGGCTGCTGGCCATAGGTACTCGTTTACCATGCAGTGCACACGATTATGGCCATTTCGTTTTTAATTCTTTAATTTCTCTGGCCACTGTTGTGTGTTTGGAATCTGCTCTGTACGTTTCAATTCCAATTATTCACTTTAATATTATGATGCGTCTACCTATAGAGGTTCAATTAATTACATATTGGTCACTGTCTTACCAGTGGCATTACACATAACCCATTTAGAGAAAACGCGCATAATTATATTCTTTGTAGAATTTGTGCCTACCTACACGTATTTCTAAATCAGGAAAGTGATATGGCCCTGAATTGTTATTGATTATTAAGTGAAATATCCTACATTCATGTTGATTTTATGCTCTTTAAAACATTATCAATTATAGTTTAATTTGATTCAATGTTTAACATTTTTTTAATAATACCCTTGTTATTAAAATAATTGATGGATTGAAATGACAAAAGCTAAATAACATGAAAACAGTACATTATTTTACACATAAACTTGTGTTCAAAAAATATATTCGTATAAGGTAATTATTTAATAACATACTTTTCTATTTCCAATGCCTTTCAAAATTTTATATTTTACAATCTATTTATCTGTTAAGAACTAAATGCGAAACGTTAATTTCTGTAAGATTTAAATAGCAGATAAACAGGTAAATCATGTACCTATATTTTTAAATTATTTATAAAGATTTTTAAAAAAGAAAATGCAATGTAAAATAGTTTTGTACCAACTCTTATCAAAACCTAAGTCCAATGCGTATTAATACACTTAAATTTCTTAGAAAAATCTCAATTCCTTTCACATATAAATTTTATATTAAAGTTTAGTATCCATTAATATTTTTCTAGATTGAAGTTGGCGATGTTATCATAAAGATAAATAATGAAGATGTGCAAACATGTACAATAAAAGAAGGTAACACTACTTGAAAATTAGAACATTTAATATTTATCATGTGTTTGATCCTATTATTAAACCATTAAATGTGAAAACAACCTAAGTTGAATATCTATAAAGCAAATACTTAATCTTAAATTAATTTTTCCTTCAAAAGTTACAATTATCTATTTTATTTTTTTCAATTGTGATATTTTTACATTAATAAATACTTTTTTTGTTTTAGTATTAAAATGTTTGAGATTAGCACAAAACCCCATTATTTTGAAACTAGTCAGAGGTTAGTATATATTTATACTATTTAAGTGATTAATTGTTAATTTGATGATTTGATGAGTTTTAGATCCTGCTATTAAAAATAAAGTGCATGATAAACTGGCTGAAGATGGAAACTCCCCTCAATTACTGCTTCGTGATATAGATTCCCCACCACCTCCACCACAACATCATCCTCCACCATTAGAAATGGTTACTAGAACAAATACAAATAAAGCTGAAGCTCCTAAATATGAAGCATTTATGATGACTGGTGAGAGAGTTATCAAAATGTCTAAAAATAGTCAGGTAAGATATTTTTTGTTTTTAATTTTTTTCCACTTTCATTTATTATATACCATCTCATATATTGTTATTATTTTTAGGTATCTTTATTACCAAAGAGGGATCGAAAAGTTGATTGTTTGGTAAAAAATGGTGGCCCAAAAAAATTCCAAAAAGTAAATTCTAATTCTGTTCCTAGTAGTCCTGTTGAAAATGACCGACCAAACATTGCAAAACCTAATTCTGGAAATACATCGCCAGTTTCTCCTCCTCCTACAAATATGTCCAACTATAAACGTGGCTCTCGTTCAGAAGATCCTTTACGTTCAAATTCTGAGTATCCAATGTCTTCTACTACCAGTATTGATACTGAAGACGAAGATATTACATCTTCTTGTAATACTTTATTAAATACTAATTTAAAACCACTTGAAATGGAAGACAAGAGAGTGTTATGGACATATAATGCTGGTCATGTTCCTGATGAAACATCAGCTTCTTGCAATTCCCTCCAAAAAGTTTTATCACCTACATCACCGACATCCATATCCTCATCAATAATGTCATCACCATCTGACCGACGACGACCTGTCAAAGGATCTTTCCGTGGCAACAGTCATCCAACTAGCAGTCATTCAAATATATCAAGTCCGGACTTCCAAGATACTGCAGATTCAGATTTCTTAATTAACTCACGTGAATTAGAAGTGACAGATCCAAGTGACAGCGATTCAACTATTGTAGCGAGTGAACCAAAGATTAGAAAGCGATCTACAGAAGGACAGTATACATATTATGATAATCACACAGACCATCGAATTGTCATACAGGTAAAAGGTCCAGAAAAAACAAATTTGGTTAAAGACAGTGAAAATAACAATAGATATTACAATGACAAGGAAAACATGAGTGATAATAAAGATCAAGATTTTAAAGTATGTAGAATTTTATATTTACAATTACCTACTATTTTTAAAAATTCATATTTTAATTTAGGATGAAGAAGAAGTTCAACATTTATTAGCTTTAATGGAAGGTGCAGCTCAGTTGGCTAATTCTGTTACCAATAATGATGAGCACTGGACACAAAATGAAGATTTTGATTCTGATAGTTTACATAGTTTTCATTATTCGCCTAAAGCTGTGGATATGCCCTCGGCAGTAAGACTAGCAAAACGTTTATTTTATTTAGAAGGATTCAAAAAAAGTGATGTATCTCGACATCTAAGTAAAAAGTATTAAAATAAAAATATAATTATTTAAAAAAAGACTAAATAATAGTAAAAAACAAATGATTTCAGTAATGAGTTCAGTAGAGCAGTTGCCGAAGAATATTTAAAATATTTTGATTTTAAAGGAAATTCATTAGATTTGGCATTAAGGCATTTTTTGAAACAATTTAGTTTGACTGGAGAAACTCAAGAAAGAGAAAGGGTATTAGTTCATTTTTCAAAACGATTCTTGGACTGCAATCCTCAATGTTTCAACTCTCAAGGTAATATTAAAATTTTAATGCTTATTAAAAATATAGTTTTCATTTTTTAAGTAAAATACATTTTTTTTTATTGTAGTAACTATTTATATTTTCAATTAATTTTTCTTACATATACTTTTATTTTAATTATAATTTTTACATTTGCTCTCTAATCCTTAATTAAAATAAAATTAATAGTTAGGTACATGTATGAATATGTATAGATAGATTTAGATAACCCTTTGAATATCATGTAATATAAACAATCTTGTTTTTTTTTATTATTATTATTATGTAGGCATGTCAACAATTCCTTTTATTCGATTGTAACCTTGATACCTTATGGAAAATTGTTTTAAAAGTTTCTAGTTTTTTTTTTTTTAATATAAATTATTTTATTAATAATATTTTTAATTGTGTAAAATATTAATTAATATTATTTTATTTTAGATGCTGTTCATACATTAACTTGTGCCATTATGCTATTAAATACTGATTTACATGGTCAAATGATTGGACGTAAAATGACATGTAATGAATTTATTGAAAACCTGGCTGGTTTAAATGATAATGAACATTTTCCACGTGACGTACTTAAATCATTGTATATGGCTATCAAGTCTAATCCTCTTGAATGGGCCAGGTAAAATATAATTTTAAGTATAGAAAATTCAAATTTAGAAGTTATTAATTTATGACATGTTTTAGTGATGATGATTTGGATGAAAATCAACTAAAAAATGCAATTGCTAGTCAACCAATTGATGGTCTTGGAAATAAAATTTCTGGCCAAATAGGCAAAAGTGGAGGAAGTTATGATGAAAATGTCATGACTCAAGCTTTAGAGTATAAAAAAGGATATGTAATGAGAAAATGTTGCATGGAAGCCAATGGAAAAAAAAGTAAAACATATTAGTTTTATTTTTTATTAATAATAATATTGTGTCTTAACGATTTTATAGCTGCAAGAGGAAAACGTAGTTGGAAAATGTACTATTGCACATTACGTGATCTAATTCTTTATTTACATAAAGATGATTCTGGATTTAGAAAATCTCAAATTAGTGATAGTATTCATAATGCAATACATATACATCACGGCTTAGCTACTAAAGCTACAGACTACACAAAAAAACAACATGTGTTTAGACTAGTTACTGCAGATCAAGCAGAATATTTGTTTCAAACCAGGTAATCATTTTTATAAACTTCCACTTACAGTTTTTCATTTCTATTTATTTACTATTGTTTATTTTATTATTAGTGATTCTAAAGAATTGGATTCATGGATAAATACAATTAATTTTGTATGTGCTAGTTTTTCTGCCCCACGATTGCCAAGTGCTGTTGGAAATCAGAAAAAATTCCAAAGGCCATTATTACCATCAGCTCCAACAAAATTAAATTTGGTTTGATTATTTAAAATATTTTATTTTTATAATTATAAAATGTTTCATTTATTTTTTAAAGCGAGAACAACTTCGTGAGCATGAAGATACTTTGCGACAACTAGAATTAGAGCTTGATGCCCATAAAAAGAAACCCCCAGAACGTGGAACTAAAAATATTACATTACAATTTTATAAAGAAAAAGAATCACATTTATTAGAAGAAGTAAATTTTATTAATTAATATCTGATATATATTAATCTATATATTAAGTGAAGAGTGTACAAAACAAAAATATCTGACTAAGAAAATTGAAACTATTAGCCTTCTCTTTCTACAAAAATTATTTTTACTATTTTTTTAATAATTAACTTAAGTTAGTTATACATTTAAAAAAAATATATAGGTATTGCCATTAAAAATATACATATTTGACAATTATGTTTCATTGTTATCATTAAATACTCAAACCAGTATATCAGTGCTTTAAAAAAAAATTTTGAAATAAAAATGTAGAGTTAAAACGCTAATTTATTATATTCAATGTATACGAGTTATTCATAATTGTTAGTACTTATTATGGGTGGCCACTGAATATTTTATAATAAACTTTAACTTAAATAATAAAATGTATAAGAAGTAAGATTAGAAACAAAATATTTTTGTATTAGCAAAAACATACTGAATGTCTTTCATACCAATACTGGCAAATGTAAATAACTATTAACTTTTTGAAAAATAGCTGAAAACATTATAATTTAATTTAATCATAAAAATTAATATCAAAGTAAAAAAATAAATAAATTGTATTCTTCACATGCTTTGCATCTAATTTATCATAAAAATAAGTTTTTTCTTTTATATCCAGGAAATGATACCACATGTTGAAACTATCTCATATCTTTATCTTAAATGTACATATTGTGCTTTTATTAACTAATTTTTTATTTATTTTTTTAGTTAAAGCGTTATAAAACATATGTCTACTTGTTAAGATCTAAAATGATTCAACACTCAGAGTATGACTCAAGTACTGCGTTAATGGAGACTGATGATGAAACAGAAGTGGTATCTGTTAATGAACAAAACAGTTCATTACCTTCTTCAAACAGGTACAGTTACAATGCAGCTATTTATTCTACAATGGCAACACATTATTAATGTATACAATCTTAAAAATATCATTAATATTCTCAATTCTGTGACTATTTATTTGAATAACTTTTGGTTTTGGATAGAAATGCCAGGTGCAGGGATACAATATTTTATTTTAGAAAATTGCAGGGATCAATTTACATTAGGCTCTGTATATGCAAGTTTGGTACATCATTTCTGATATTGCATAACACTTATATATTAACTAATATGACCTTTGCAATGATTGAAATAATGTTGAGTTCAAACTAATTAGCTTTTGCTTTATTTATTTTCTAATTAAATGCTTCAGTTTTTCAATTTTAGAAACACAGTGGCATAGCAAAAAAAAAAGTTAATTTTAAATATCTGGAACAGAAATAAATTATTAATATATTTTAATTGGTGAATTAACAAATAAATATTATTTGCGCTATATTAAACTTTATAAAAAACAAATATTATCTGATTTTATATAGTATTAAACCAGTTTTTTCATCTTTAAAAAAAATATTTTAAATAATTTAAAACAATGCTCAGTTTATTTTATTCTCTACTATTAATTAAAATCAATGAATATTAAATAGATTTATTGTGCTATTAAAGAATTTATCTTTGTTAAGTATTTATTATAATTTGTTTATAAATACCTGTTAAAGATATATAAAAGCACTAAATAAATATTTCCAATTAATTTTAGAATTTTATCATAAAATAAGCTAAATCTATTTAAATATTTTTGTTCCAATTATTAACTCTTTTAAATTAAATTAAATTGTTAAATTTTAAATATTTTCAGGAATATTAATTAACGCTTTTTTAAAACCTTGTATACTTAAAAATAGTAATAACTTATAATTACTAACAAATTCTCAAGAAAAAATTATTTATGATTTTTTCAGAAATGACAGACAATTTATCAAATACTTTCAATTTTATTTAAAGAAAAATGTCATGATATGAATTTATAGCATGTGTCATTTATTATTTGTTTGCAATTTTGCTAATAAACTTAATACATTTTTAAACATTGTAGGTATTTGTGATTAACAATTCTTAGATTATTTTTTGTAAAATGTTATCACAAACAAATAAAACTTATAGATAAATGCTTTGATTGATATAAAAATTAACACTTTATTACACTATACCACATTACACTGTATTGATTGATAATCACAAGAAATTTGCACACAAATTTCTGTTTTGACTCATGCAACACGTTAACATTTTGCGCGAGAATTATATTATTATAACTATTATTATTTCTATTTCATAATGAGAATGTTTTGTGTTTATGCATGGTAAAGGAGTATCGATGCTTGAAGCTGCAAAATATGCCACTGGACTTCCAAGACATTGTCACCTGGCTGTGTAGTTAATATTTTTTGTTTTTTTTTTATTATTATTTTTCTTAACACTGGATATTACTGATCCCTAATCAAAAGTATGCAAATGAATTCCGAACAATATATATATTTAGCTCTAAACATTATTTAAATTTATTTTATTTGACACCTCTATTTTATGTATAACTAAAATAATGTTTGCATAATAAAGATAATGATTTTATATGACATTTTGGTTAGACTAATATAATACAATTTATAAATTTGAAGAAGTACTTTTTGACAAAAAATATTTGACATTTTATAATTCATTTATTTTATAAATATTTAGTATTATTTTCGTTCCAACTAATGTAATTTATTAAATTAGTGTTTAACAAATTAATCACCTTTAAATACTTAAACAAAATATCATTTTTTACTTATTGAAAAATTTAGTTTATATTTTAATGCCTAATGAAATAAACAGACTTAAAGTATAGTAATTGATTATACTTATGTAAAATATATATATATATGTGCAGAATACATATACATTTCCATCATAGAACTCATAAATGGTGAAGATTTTAATTTCTTCCCTTGTTAAGGGTTTATTTGTTTAATATCCTATAATGTGCCAAATTATTTTTTGATCTACAAACCCATTATTTTATTTTGACTTATTTAACCTACCAATACTATAAATATTTTGTCTATTACTTCTACATACAACATAATTATCTAATTTATAATGTATTATCTATATAATTTTTTAAAGAAAAATTATATCCATACAAATAGTCTTGTAAATTGTTATTTATTTAATTGTAAATTTGTTACAAAATAATATAAGTTTTTTAAATGTTCATAAGGAATTATTAATATTTTATTGTTATGTATGTGATTGTACACATTGTAATATATCATTTTGTAATTCAGTTCACTTCCTTGTCAATAACAAAATCATTACTACTTATAATCATTAATGTTATGATATACCAAATAAAACTTTTCTTTGTTATTATAGTAATGTGTTAAACAAACATGTGAATATTGTTATATAGTGTTACTAAACACTTATTGTTAGTTTTTTTTTTGTGTGTGCGTGCTTGTGTGTGTGAACATAAATAAGTTGTTATACAATTATTGTACACCAACCACAAATGATTTTTTATTTAACAAAACTATTATGGATAAAAAAAAAATGTACATAAAATCAAAACCAAAATTAAGTTTTTAACTCTACCACTAAAAAATTTGAATCTCTGTATGTTTTGAAATACTTTCAGTATTAACTTTTTTTTTTTTAACTAACATAATATATATAATTGAATGTGCAATAATTAAAAAAAAAATTTATTTTGTTTGCTTTGAACAAATTCTGTAATTTTTTTATTTTATGATTAAATTATTTATTCCACGAGTTGTGTTCATATTGAAGCAAATTGACTTAAACGTGGCTTTGTAAACTATTTTATTTTGTTTTGGAATTTTAAAAATATCTAGTCCATTTTTTTTTTTTTTTTAATAAAATATTTATAATAAAATAAAACACATTTATCATTTATAGTATATTATTAACAACGCTACTGAATAAGAGCAAACTATTTATTATAACTAATTAGATCTTATTAATAATAATATAAAATAATATAATATAAAATGTATATCATATGATTAACTAGGTATTTCATTTGTAAAATGTTTTATTAAATTGTATCAATAATAAATAAAGGAATTACCAACTATTTTGTTTAATTTAATTATCTTTTACTCTTATGTATTTCTTATTCAATTTTTTTTTATTTTTATCTTTTATCTGACATAAATGAACAATTATATTGCAGACTACCGTCTATTTGTAATTTTTATTATTTGAAATTATATCTGTAAAAATACATCAAATTCACCAATCAACAGTTCAACTTTTTAAATTCATTTGTAACAATATATAAACATAAATATTATGACTTTTGTTGTGAGATCTCTAGCATTTATGTATTCCTATCTATTTAATCATATTCAGTTTATTTCCATTAGACCCTAAACACAAGTTACACTATTAACTCTCTTACTTTTTAAACTTTAACTCACTTCTCACTTTAAATGTCTTAATTATCACTAATTTTATAATAATAATTTAATAACAAATTTATTGTATTATTTAAAAATATGATAAAAGGTAGGTACATATATTATAAAACAGATAACAACAGAACTTATATTAAATTAAAAAAAAACGTATTTATAACAAATGATCAAAACTCCCACTATCACTGTGCAACTTGTAAATTTTGCCATATACATATACCATACTGTCAGCAAAAATCGATTTATTAGGAATTAATCATCGTTATAGCATATTAATAAAACCATATTTTATTTTTATTTTTGTTGAATGCGTTAAAAAAAAAAAAAATTAGTAAGGGGTGGGCCCTGGGAATTAGAATCATGCATTCATGCCACCCCACTCATTAACTCGCGGGCGTGTATTTAACCTATATCTGTTTACATGACATTTCAATTCATAGGTACTTTAATATTACTTATACAGTATTCTTCTGTTTTTTTTTCTCTTTCGAAATGTGTGAAATTCGAGTAAAACTTAAGTAGAATCATCCAGTATCTAAAATGTAAATATTTTATAAATGCATTTTTATATTTTAACTCTATCTCTACCACAAGCAAGCATGCTTAAAAGAGATAGATAAATAGATGAAAATTATTAATAAATACTAATTATCTAAAATTTGTTTTGTGATTTTAATAACAATTAAAAAATTATAACACCTATTATAAAACATAACTATAGACATGCATGCACGAACTTAAATTTCATGTGGTGCTTTCAGCATTTTTTGCACTAAAGCCCTCTACTAAAAAGTTGAGTATAAGTATAAAGTTATAATTATATTAATTTTTTATAATACATAATAATAATAATAATAACAATTAATTATGTATTTTAGAAAAATATTATATTTTATTTGTTAATCACAGTTAAAATACTGGCCCATGAGTCAGGAGATTAACTTTTAGGGTTCTATAGTTGCGCCTATTAACTTCGCCCACGCACGACAATAAACATGACATGTCTAACATTTAATGTTTCTTAATAAAATCATTAATATACAAATTTAATTTTCAATTTTTTGGTTTTGTTTGACGTATTCTAATATCTTATGGTAGTAAGGTACATACTACATACCTACACTGAAATTAAAAATAATATTTTAAAGACTTAAGTAATATACTATATTGGAAGTAGGTAGGCATACACTGTAAACACGTATAACTAAACAGAAACCAAGGTCCGTGAAGTTAAGAAAAAGGTTTTATAAATTTAATATACCTACCTACTTACATGCATATCCATTATATATATATATATATATATAATAGGTGCACCTGGTGCACTGCGTATTATGTACAAAATAAGAGGTACTTACCGACTATATATTTTATCTCGACACAAAAACTGGAAATATTAGAATAACTTAAAAAAAAATTACTTTTACAAAACCGACCGACCGAACTGCTTCAGTGCTACACATATTACATATATTTAAATATATTTAGACTGGTCTATTATACATTTATACAGTATATACACACGTGTATGATGAATGTAATCCTGTTGTTGCGGACTATGAAATAAATTCTGCCTAAGAAAACTATTTTATCGGCCCTTAATTAATATATTTTATCAAAGACTAGTCTATAATTAAAAATAATGTTCAATTATATGTAGGTATTCAGATATAGAATACATATTTAAATATTTGGTATTATTTGTATTTAAAATACGCATTCGATTACTTTCTTTCAAAAATATTTGTATATAAATATAAATAATAATTAAAAATATTAAAAATACTTTTTTTTTTAGTTCAATACATTGATATTGAATGTTTTGTACGTTCACAAATATATGTATAATACAACTTAACAAAAAATATTTAAAATCAATATACATACAAGTTAAAAATTGATAAATAAAAGGTGTAGATAAAGAGGATTGGGTGTTCAATCATTTCCCGAAATTAAAGATAAAATTGAATAATAATAATTCATATTTAATTTTAATGTTTTATTTTATTAATATAGACCTAGACCCAAAACCCCTTCCGAAAATATTTCCTACCTACGCTCATGGCCCATGGGTACAACAATAATATTTCAAATTCGGGACCGACCCGGCTAACTTTTTTGTTATCACCTACTTGTTTGATGAAATCTTATTCAAAATTCTTAAAACCATTATTAATTATTATTTTTGAAACAAAATTTAAAATAATAAAATACGTAAATAATGGTCTTTAGAATCAACGGTAAAACTAAAAAAAAGTATTTAGTACTCTGGAATAAAAATATAGAGAAACATAATTTTAAAGTACCTACCTATATTTGAAATGCTAAAAGAGTATTTAAGTTATACCTAACTAGCTTTGGGCACATATTATAAAACTTTTTGGGTGTAGAATTATAAATCAGTGCTTATTGAAAATGCTGCTTTCATATTCGTAATCACTAAACAAAATAATTCATATTTAAATATCAAAGTCTCAAAAAAAAATTACCCACTTAATAATTAACAATTAAAAAATGGGTGTTTCATTTGAAAAATATAAGTTTGTATCGTCACAGGACGTTCTTCGAGTAGTAAAAAAAAAAAAAAAAATCTCCAGATTTTGAATAAATTCATATATTATTAATTGAAAAAATAGGTTTGAGCATGCTTGCTGTATCACCACTATCACCCTGTACATACTGTTACCTGTTGTACATCAATAAATTTATTACTATAGTGGGCCTGAATAAAACGAATAATTCGAGAATTAAGCGCATCTTCGACTCCGATCATCGTTTGTAGCGTGATTAAAGATATCATCTTCGATCGTGTTTGTAGTGTAGAAAAAAAAAATCCTGAAACGCCATCGGTATACAAAAACAGTATGGACACACATAAACAAACACGTTCAAACGTGTGTAAAGTTTACCGCGTAAACCTACCTACGCAATATGGAAGAAGAAAGTTGGAAAAATTTCCCATGCGAAATGACCTCGGCCAGTCACATCTCGTGCACTACACGCGCGCGTGTACTGCCGACTCTCGGCAGTGCATCTACCTTTACCTGCACCGCGTTCGATTATGGAATCTGAAAGTTGTTCTATTATCGAGACGGACTTAAATCGT